CGAAGGCTTGAGGCCTTAACACCTAAACTGCATCGAGTAGACAAAACCATACAATCGCTACATCACATCATCGTGTTTACGCTTTCAAATTGGTACATTCAAGTCGAAAAAATAAGGTATTCAGCGGTCTTATTTCTACCATCAGCAGACAAGCGTGAAAGGGACATAAACAGCGTCGATGCTTCGACACTGCAATCACAGAGTCAGTCCGAAGAGTGAATCATCGAGGAGTGAAACAACTTGTGTACTTTTGCGTTTAAGTGAAAGGACTTCTCCTCTCGCCTCTGATGGAGGCGGGAAGAGGGAGCGGAGTGTTGGGGAGGAGGCGATGGTGGAGAAGAAGGAGACAGAGAGCGTACAGAGTAAGCGCCTACCATCACATCCTGACTGTCCAAATCACCATGTCCAAGGTGGCTGTTCTGATAACAAAAATAGGCAGTAATGCAAAGAAGGTTGGAGGAGGTAGAAGTGGACCACTGCTCTGCACTTTTATTTTGCGACACAAATTTGTCAGGACGATGAAGTGTCCCTTTAGGTGGGTTTAACAATGTGTCAACCATATTAAAGGAGGCGAAGGCACTGCAATCAACCAATGCGGTGGTAGCATTTTTAATCACTTGAGCTATGCAAATGTCAGTAGTAGCTTCATGCAAATCTTTTCTACTGACAGTGACAGTGACAATCAAAGCTGGTGTAACGGTCACCTTCATCAGTGAAAGTGAAATGTCAATGTTTTACTAAAAGATTTTTAACTTATCTGGTTTAAATGAGGTGATGAGTGAAGTCCTTCACTTCCGTCAATCATGTCATTAGTCGGGGGAGGTTAAATTAACTTCAAAATGAAGGAAACAGGAAGTCGTTTTTACGTTGAAAGACTTCATATTTGGCAGCATGTCTGCAAAGGGTAGAAATTGGAATGCGGTAGGATCCGAAGGTCAGCCTATGCCAGGCGAGAATGGGATAAAAATCAAAGTGATCATAACCCATACAGACAGTTGAGTGAAATAAGATGTTACACCTCCTCCTCCTCCTCCTCCTCCTCCTCATACTTCTTCTTCTTCCTCTTCTTCCCATTCTCCTCCTTGTCCTCATCCCCTCCCCTTCAACCTTCTCCGCACTCTCCCCTTCCGCCTTCACTCTATCTATGACCGTTGTCCCCAAACCTCCCATACACACGCCTTCTTAACTGAGTCTTCCCTTCACACACACTTCCAACTACCCTAACCAAGAGGAGGCACAGATGAGAAGCAACGAGTGAAGCATATGTCGACTCGTGCC